GATCGCAGTTTAAAAGATTGATGTTTTTCAGAGAGCGCTGCTGCCCGTTCTCTGTTTGATGTGTAGTCCCTAAGTCGCCTCTTACGACACCCGCGGGAAGAGTAGGGGTTGGTGACAAATGTATTCTACTCTGCCGTCACCACACGGCTTACATGTACCTACATGAAATATATTTTCAAAATAACTATCAGGGGGTGATTAGTGATCGATACTAATGCCAAAATGCAATGCAATGAAAAAAAAAATGCAATCTGTAAAATTTTTGTCTCTCTGTCTGTCTGTCTGTCCGTCTGTATGTTCCTTATAGAAACAAAAACTACTAGACGGATTTAAACGAAACTTGGTACAATTATTCTTCATACTCCTGGGCAGGTTATAGTATACTTAGGAATTCCCACGGGAACAGGAATTAGCGGAAAAATCCTTTTGTATGAAAAATCTAAACCGCTAAAGTTAGACGCTTGAAATTTAGCATGTAGGTACTTTAGTAAACTTAAAGCTTAGTTACAACAAGTAATTCCCGAAATTCCCACTTGAACGGGAATTAGCGGTAAAATCCTTTTGTATGAAAAATCTAAACACTTGACATTTGGCATGCAGGTACCTTAGTAAACTTAAAGCTTAGTTACAACAGGATATTGCACGGGACCGGGAGTTAACGGGAAAAAACATTTGTATGAAAAAATTTAAACCGCGTAAGATAGATGAAGGGGGTAAAACGGGATCCACGCGTACGAAGTCACGGGCGGCCGCTAGTAATAAATAAACTGTGGAAATGAATCTGAAAAAATATGTTTGGAATGTTTATCTGCCTAGCCTGCATCAATATTTATGACTATGTATATTTTAAAGACTGTAAACCCTTGAAAAGGAGGCTGACAATAGTAACTGAGTTTCTAGCGCTGCTTCTTCTCAGCACTGGCCCATTTATTGTCCCGAAGCAGTGGTAGGGTTAGTACTGGGACTTGTAAAAGTGCTTTTAAAAGCCTACTTGCATAAATAAATGAGTTTTATAACCTGACATAGCCCGACGGATTAGCAAGCAGAAACAGAATAATGACACTGAAGTGTGCAATGTGCAGGGCACATAGTACGCAGAACTGACGGCCGATGGGGCAGCAAGGTTCTGGAGTGAAGGCCACGTACCGGAAAACTTAGCGCGAGACGTCCAACCACAAGGTGGACCGACTCATAAAGGTAGCAGGAAGGCGCTGGATGCAGGCCACTACTAACCGGGCGATATGGAATCAATGGGGGAGGCTTTTGTTCAGCAGTGGACGTCCTGTGGCTGAAATGATGATGGTGAAGTATAACGATACGATATTTTATGTCTCAAGCTTATAGCTACAAGCGCTACTTTTTCTCAGCACACTGGCCCCACAGATCACAGAAACTAAAGGGAGATGTGACAAGTGGGCGGGACTGGTGTCGCAGCAATATGCCCAAAAACAGAACACATTTCTCGCGACAGCAATGATGACAGCAGCGACGTCATAATGTAAATAGTTTACATTGCTTGCGTAGTACCTAATAAAGATTATTCGAACGTTGAGTACTGATACCGCACTGGATATGAGCACATATTTTGATTACTTTGTGTGTGTGAATTTCTAATGCGACGCTGAGTTTCGAACTCAGCGCATTAGTTGGCATCTCTCTTTATCTCTATGACTGACCTTTATTACTGTCCCGAAGAAGTGGTAAGGTTTGGGACGTGTTAAAGTGATCTTTCGGAGCCTAATTGTATAAACAAACGATTTGATTTGATTTGATTTGTCGACTATCAGCATTACAACGATCGCCACTTGACTTCCATTTTCAATTTACATTAAAGACTTCAATGAATGAAGTGAAAATATGTTTCTATTCAGAACGATGCCACAGTAGCTTTGCCAAGACAGTAGGGTCATCAAAATTCAAATTCAAATTCAAATCAAATTCTTTTAGGCCATAAAAAAACTTAAAACTCATTTTATTTTTGCAAGTAGGCTTTTAAAAGCATTTTCGCAGGTCCCAGTCCCATCACCATCATCATTTAAGCCACATGACGTCCACTGCTGAACATAGGGCCTCCCCAATGATTTCCACATCGCCCGGTTGGTAGTGGCCTGCATCCAGCGCCTTCCTGCTACCTTTATGAGGTCGTCGGTCCACCTTGTGGGTGAACCCTTGATGGTAGGCCTTTATACATAGAGGTGATTAAGTTTCCTCCGCCACTTCTCAGCACCAGCCCCTATGTTGTCCCAAAGCGGAGGTAGGGCAAGCTATAATTGGAACGTGTATACTGCCCTGAAAAGGGCCTGTATACACCAAAAAACCGAATCCAACAAGAGCAGATAAACGTACACGTAATGACAGTTTAACTTTCCCCCGCTACAAACTTGACCTTCATTGGTTTTTATGGCGGTCAAGCTGTAGATCCTGGCTACACAGGAGTTGCAGTGGTGGGAACGAGAGGTGGGAATAGTCCGTGTAAAAACGTACACGTATCTAATTCCTACTCGATGACCTGACGATCTGGTGAGGTCTCGGGAAGCACAGGATTGGTCGTAGTGAAAATCCTTGGGGAGGCCTTTGTCCAGCAGTGGACGTCTTTTGGAACGAAACTTCTGCTATTTAACTCTACTATAATCTGGCAGCAACACCGATCTAGAGTTTATAATGTCAGACATTATTCTATTTAAATATACGAGCATTATGCGCATTGATAATGTGTATCTCCATTGATTTTAAAACTAGTTTTTTTCGAGGAAGCTCTTGGCCTGCATTTCACTCGATGGAAAGATGATCAGGCAGGTGGAAGCGAGCTTCACCCGGAATCCTCAACCACAGAGGAACTGGCTATCTTACCTCCAACTGCCGGAACACAACAATGCTGTTAATATTGTTGTTTTGGCGACAGTAAGGTAAGATGGTGGTAGCGTTCGTAACGTTCCTACAGAATACCAGCATTCATGTTCTGAATGGAACATGATACAAGCTGAGTAGGAGCCATTTTGGTTCAATAAATTATGTATGTTATTAAAATTGTGTAAAACGTTTGTTTGAACCAAATAAACTATTTTTCTTTCTTTCTTCTTTCTTTCTAGCCAGACTGACTTAGAACAAGCCCTACCACCTAGGGCGCCTGACTCAAGCGACTGTCTAAGGCAGCGGTTCCCGAATGGTGGTCCGCGGAACCCTGGGGTTCCGTAAAAAATACTATCCCACGTTTCGTGACCGACGTTGTTCGCTCGCACCGACTTGTTTACGCACAAGGGAGGGGCAGGGCGTGCGGGCGGAGTAGTACGGGGGTTCCGCTAGGAAAAGTATAATCAATTAGGGTTCCTTGGCAAAAAAAATTGGGAAACCCTGGTCTAAGGAGTTGCCAAATGGAAAGAAGGGGGCACTTTGTGAAAAAAAAATGTTCTAGAGCGCAAAGGGGGCGCCACGATAAAATGTTAGTGAAAATATCGTAGATCCGTGCTTCTTGAGTGGGTCTGTAGGAGGCTTCCGGCGACTGGGACCGCAATTAACTAGGACCGCGGTCCCAGTCGCCGGATCCATAAACAATTAATAATTTTCTTCCGGCGACTGGGACCACTCATAGATAACTTAAAAGAAAATATTATTCAATCCAAAATCGGTACAGTACTAAAATCCATGAGTGGTCCCAGTCGCCGGAAGAAAATTGTTTAATTTTTACGCATCCGGCGACTGGGACCGCGGTCCCAGTCGCCGGATGGGGCCGCGGTCCCAGTTAATTGCGGTCCCAGTTGACGGAATCCTCGTCTGTAGTCATTGCATGCAATAGAATTGAGTTATTAACCAGTTTAACCACTTTAATAATTAAAAAGAATTGTTTTTTATGTACAGCCAACGGAAAAATTTTTGCTATACGAATATTTCTCACTAACTTGCTAATGGGAAGTTGGGAATTCGCTCACTCGTATTAAATAATGCATAAATTACCTTATTTTAACCGTAGTTGCACCACCTTATTTTAACCGTAACATTGACAATAACCGGTGATTTTTGTATGGAGTTTGATAGATTTTTGACGTTTGTCAAAGTTAAAGTAAGATGGTGCAACCCACCCTAAGCACACCGAATTTCAAATTTAAACGGATCGGTTTTTGCGCGATTTTTCTGATAGTCATAATTTTACGCGGGCGAAGTCGTGGGCAAAAGCTAGTTATTATAATAATTTCGTTTCGTTACTTGTGTACCAGGACCTTATAACGGGAAGTAAGTACCTACCTGGATGCGGGCAGCGCAGGACCGGTCTTTATAGAAATCATTGGAGGAGGCCTATGTCCAGCAGTGGACGTCATTCGGCTGAAACGAATAAACGATACTGGGGATATGATAAAATAAATATAATACAATCATAATGCATTATGCGATCTACTTTCCGCATGTTTGCCAACTGTAATCTTTTTCCTCCCACGATGTGGTAATTAGCGAGCTAGGGTGGCCATGATGTTGCAATTTTATTAGGACAGAATAACGTAAACGCTTCTGTTTACCGCTAGAGTCAGGTGAGGTGGGTATGTTGGGATTAACTTTAAAAAAATTAGAACCTTCTTTGTTCTTTGTTTGGGACAAACTGCTTACCATTAAATACATAATGATGGCTAATGAAGCAGTTGATCCTGACCAGTGGAAACAAAATTATTTATAAAGTAATAATTTTAAGAATCTTATTCGTAATGTAATTTTAAACTAGGACATGATGTAAACATGTAAAAGCGCTTTCTAAAAACCTATTTGCAGAAAATAATAACTTTTTATGCCTTTTTGATGAATTTCAGTTTTAAAAACATAATACACATCTCTAGTTTAAGGAAAACTCCTTGAAATAGAAAATCGACTGTTTTAATAAGATGTCCCTCGTCCTTCATTCATTTAAATGTTGTTCTTCGTAAGAACTTTTAAGTGTGATCTTGGTTTTAACCATAATGGTATTTGAAGTTTCGTCAACTATGTCCAGACAAATATTTCGGATACCATGGTCACCCCACCGACATTGACTCACTCGGTAACCTACAAAACAGCGTAGATTCAGTTTGACAACAGTAGTGTGAACGGACAGACATTTGTGTAAGTGAATTTTATTGTTTGTTTATTTGTACTGTAAATAATATTACCTACTTGTTTGATCTCAAAGTTTATATTTTTGGGGTAATTTGAGAGATGTTTGAGATAAATTGAGTATTTGAGAGTTGATAAATATATTATAGTGGTGTTTGTGAGTGATTTTTGTTAAAAAGTGTACGCTTTGACATTGTATTGTGAGAATTTTGCGATTATTATTTTTGTATCCTTCGTGAAGATGTAATTACTCACAAATACTTAGTCATTTTTTCTGTCTTTGACGGTTTCTGAATTAAGTTAAATAAATAGTTAAATATCTTTGGACATTTAACACTGCGCCTCTAGTCCCAAACTAAGCAAAGCTTGTACTATGGATACTAGACAAAAACATACTTTTAAATTACAGAAAAAACAAATATGTAAGAGTAAGTAAAAGTGATAGTTTTGTTGTGGTGTTTAAAAAAGTTTGTACGTTTTTTATTTGTCAACAGTAAAAACTTATCTGTCAGATAATACAACTTTCGGTTTCACTATTTGTTAGCGAAACTCAAAAACTACAATACGGATTTTCATGCGGATTTCACCAATTGTTGTGTGATTTATGAAGTTTAGTAGTTATTTAACCGTTTTTCCCTGTTTTTTAAAGAGAGATGCTCGCACGCAGATAAGCTTTTTTATGACAGACTAAAATTCGGACAAGACCGCGGAAAAAACTAGTTTAAAAATAAAATAATTTCGCAACGCTGACGTGTAACGGAAAAAACATGTCCAATTACATAAATAGAACTATTACTAATTTAATTAATTTAATTTGATAATAGACTTTTAATTACAAAATTACAGAATCATTAAGCTACTTACTGCAATGGCTGTCTTTATAGCACACTTATGTAATTAGAAACTATTAGGTAATGTTGTTGTCCCTAATTAATTAATTAAAAGTGATTAGCTTAGAAAGCCAAGAATGTCCCTACCAACCCGTGACATTACTGGGACGAAATTTTTTGTCCCATAGGACAGCAGCGGGACCGGTTTTTGTGGAAATCCGTGAGAGAAGTCTTTTTCCAACAGTGGACTTTCTTAGGTTGAATATGACTGAGTATCTTGCGCTGCTTCTTCTCAGCACTGGCCCATTTATTGTCCCGAAGAGGTAGTAGGGTTAATACTGGGACGTACTAGGGTTAATATTTCAGCCATAGGACGTCCACTGCTGAACATAGGCCTCCCCTAATGCTTTCCACGTTGATCGATTGGTAGCGGCCTGCATCCAGCGCTTCCCTGCTACCTTTACGATGTCGTCAGTCCACCTTGTAGGTGGACGTCTCACGCTGCGTTTTCCGGTACGCGGCCTCCATTCCAGAACCTTGCTGCCCCATCGGCCGTCAGTTCTGCGTACTATATGCCCTGCCCATTGCCACTTCAGCTTGCTAATCCGTCGGGCTATGTCAGCAACTTTAGTTCGTTTACGGATTTCCTCATTTCTGATTCGATCTCGCAAAGAAACACCAAGCATAGCCCTCTCCATAGCTCGCTGTGCGACTTTGAGCTTCTGTATAAGGCCTATAGTGAGAGGCCACGTATACTGGGACGTAAAAAGTGCTTTTTAAAAGCCTACTTGCAAAAATAATGAGTTTTTTTTAAGAGTTTTTATGAAATGACGGTTTAATTTGTACTATCGACTATCGACATTACTGTTCTCAAGGACATCTCTAAAGTAAACGTGCCTGCACTCAAAGGCTATTAAAAAGGTTCATTCATTGAGTCTTATCTCTTATCAAGATAATATATGTCACTACATGTTTCACTTGTGCTAAAGCTATGTTTAAATAAGCCTAAAGTTTTTGTCGGCCGATAGTTGGGTCGGACCAGAGTAAATACAAATGAGTAGGTCATCTTCATAGAAACGCACGGGCGCGGTTTGTATGTGAGCGCGCCAACACGTATGCGGCGCGCACGCACACACTGACAAAATTTAGCGGGGATACTAGTATTATATTATTATATTATGTGGCGGGGATTAGCGGGTAGTGTGTGCGTGCGCGCCGCATACGTATTGGCGCGCTCACATACAAACCGCGCTCGGTGCGTTTCTATGAAGATGACCTACTCATTTGTATTTACTCTAGACTGACTTAGGGTTGCCAGGTGTCCGGCTTTAGCCTGACATGTTTGGCTTATTACGGTCTTGTCCGGCCTGTCCGGCTTTTTATGTGGCTGCCGCGCCAGGCGAAAGTCGAGCCACAGAATATGAAGCGCACAACGGGCAACCGATGATGATAGTACCTACTCACTAGTGAGCTATGACACTAATTGCTTTTAGTCTGGCTTTTGTGTTTTTGGACCTGGCAACCCTAAAGCCCGGTCTGTGAGCACGTAGAATTTTGTCCAATGACCCCAAGCTACCCATCCTTATCGCTCGCGCGTAATTATGTTGCTGTCGCGCTTGCACACACACTGCGGGCGCCCGTCGCACAGTCGCGACAAACTTCTACGTGCTCGCAGACCAGACTATAGTCGGGCTTTTTTGGTCACTGTAGCGCGAATAGTCAAGTTACATGCCTGATTTTTTTATTGTTATCAGATGAGTACTAGGCCTAACTGATTCAGAAGTATTTACATCAATAACACGAATGTAAACTAAAATCCTCTATGTTGTAAAAAAAATCATAACTCGAAAACTAACTCTACTTCTGGGCTTCGGCTTGACACTACTTTTTGGGACACCCTGTATATTGAATAAGCAAAAGAGATTGGTAGATATTTTGGGACAGCAAAATAGTCCCAATTTTTAGTTCGACTTCGAACTTGACCGATGTTTCGTTGGTTTTTTACTGACCTATAAAACAAGACCGGAATAGCGCACATAAAAATGTGTTTATTTTAGTTTTCATTATGTATTTTTACTTGGTTTATGATCTCACTAGTTGTGCCCGCGACTTCGCGTGAAAAAAGTTTAAATAATATTTCTAGTTTTTGCAACATTTTTCTTTACTGCTCTGCCCCTATTGGCTGTAGGGTGATGTATAGCCATAAGCCTTCCTCGATAAATGATCTATCCAACAAAAATTAATTTTTCAAATCGGACAAGTAGTTCTTGAGATTAGCGAGTTCAAAGAAACAAACTCTTCAACTTTATAATAATAGTAAGATAAGGTAGCTATGATGTCATGAACATACGAAGAATCAAACGAAAAATATCTCATGCTAAAACATCTTCTAAGTAAAGACACTTGAGAGTCTTGAGATAATAGATAAGATATAGTGATGTGAATGAAGTCCATGGGTCAATGGACTTCCCAAAGACACTTCTCCCACCAACTAAAAGTGACGTAGAGACACGAGACAAAAACTGATGACAGTAGGAGACATGAGACAGGGCTATTCCCACCTCTCGTTCCCACCGCTGCAACTCCTGTGTAGCCAGGATCTACAGCTTGACCGCCAATAACACAACCAGTGAAGGTCAAGTTTGTCCCGGGGGAAGAAAGACATGTGTCAGGAGAAATAAAATAAAGATAGAGACAGGAGGCAGAGAAAAGCGACAGAGATCTACATAAATCAATAATGTGGGATTAATCACAGACAAAGAGTCAGCGTCAAATCATAATCATCATCATTTCAGCCATAGGCCGTCCACTGCTGAACATAGGCCTCCCCCAATGCTTTCCATGTTGATCGATTGGTAGCGGCCTGCGTCCAGCACTTCCCTGCTACCTTTATGATGTCGTCGGTCCACCTTAGGGTGGCCGTCCCACGCTGCGTTTTCCGGCATGCGGCCTCCACTCCAGAACCTTGCTGCCCCATCGGCCGTCAGTTCTGCGTATTATGTGCCCTGCCCATGCCACTTCAGCTTGCTAATCCGTCGGGCTATGTCAGCGACTTTAGTCAAATAAAACGCCTATATTGGCCAAAAATTTGACAACACAACCTTATTCCAATGAGGGCTATCGTTTTTATACTTAACAGTTGGCACCCCAGGCGATTGACAGGACCTTACTCTACAGTGGCGCCATCTTGATGAGTGCAAATGAGATAGTCCTCCTACCACTTTCGCGCTCACCAGTTAGTGCCACTGTCTTCGCTACTAGCAAGTGACAGGACCTTACTCTACAGTGGCGCTAACTGGTGAGCGCTAAAACGATAGCCCTCATTGGAACAAAGACGTGTTGCGAACTTTTTGACTACTTTGAGTGTCACGAACTATTTGACGCTGACTGTACAATGCTTTTTATTTTATTTTCAGGTAAAATGTCGGCGATTCTACACGTAGCTTTCAGAGACGCTGGAGCAAAGGCCGGCCTGGAGATATGGAGGATCGAGGTTAGTGATCATCGTCATCATTAACACCATCATCATCTAAGGGTATCAAAGACTTCTATGCATTAGTACGAGGTACAACATCCATTAGACTAATTGGAGTGGTGCTATTCTACTCTCATCATCATCATCATTTCAGCCACAGGACGTCCACTGCTGAACATAGGCCTCCCCTAATGATTTCCATATCGCGCGATTGGTAGCGACCTGCATCCAGCGTCTTCCTGCTGCCTTTATGAGGTAGTCGATCCACCACCACGTCCTACGCTGCAGCGCTTTCCGGTACGTGGCCTCCTCTCCAGAACCTTGCCAATCGGCATTATGGAAATCATTAGGGGAGGCCTATGTTCAGCAGTGGACGTCCTATGGCTGAAGTGGTACGACATCCATGGGAACAATTCCAGTGGTGATTCTACTCTGCCTAAACAATAATAGGTATTATGTTTTCCTAGAGATAGTTGTATAATTGGATAAAATTATAGGGAAGCTGTTAGTAATAATGAGCAGTGCCCTGTTGATTAAAACTTAAAACGGTTGGTTATCGCAAAATTGATAAAAATAAATAATGAGTTGTTTTCGATATCAAATTAGTATTTAAATGAGGTAAACGATTATCTGAAATGGTATTTATAGATATTGGGGCTACACTAATCGAGAGTAGGACCTCCCACTCTTCCCGTGGATGTCGTAAGAGGCGACTAAGGGACAAATATGCGAACATCAGGCCTCCCCAACCCGTCTGGCCAGCGTGGGGAGTGTAGGACAAATCCTCCATTTGCCTCTGGTGAATTAGACAGGGTCGTCTCCTGCAGTGGAGACGTGCTCTTTCCATAGAGACATCCTGTTTTTTACAGGAACTGTTTTTCAGGATCCCGTTTAGTAGTAATAGGTATTTACACCTTAACACAATATTACTTTACTATTACTACACACTCACACACACCTATACAAACAGTTTTATATTTTTATTAGTATTCTTTTCGTAGTCTTTCATCGTTACTGATTTCCCGCCTTTTGTATTTATCTGTGGATCAATATTACTATTATGTATGTTTAGAAAATATTATGCAGCTTACTATTTTATTTATTTTACCAATGGTCCGTGACCCTCACTCGGCATGGGGCACACTGAAAACCAGCGCCGTGGCCTTCGTCACCGTGGGCCACGGCATATGCTGAGTTGGGTCCCGTTGCAGTGGGCATCTTATTGGTGGGTGGCTGGCACTGCTCAGTTTACTCTTGTTTTTTACTTTTTTTTTTCTGGTTCCATTATTATGTGCCACTGTCATGTCTATATAATTGCCTGTATTTGTGTGATGTCCATTGTAATAAATGTATCTTTCTTTCATTCTTTCTTTCTTTTCTATTTTAATATTATCATTCACACGAACATCCCTTTTGTGTCCTGCAAAAAATCTATCCATTCTTTGGAATTCAAATTTCAACCACACAGTGTGTGTTCAGTGTTCACACGACAGTCTGACAAAGGTGACTGAGTTTCTTCCGCCACTTCTTTTCAGCACCAGCCCATATGTTACATAGTTATTTAATTTAATTTGAAAATTATAAATAACTTGAAAAATGTAGGGTAGGTATACTCAACATTGATGAAACAAACGCTGGCTGTAACAGCGTATTACGCTTGAAAATTTCGACGGGTTCATCCAGTGTCTAAGTAGCTCAGTTGGAAGAGCAGTCGCCCGGCAAGCGGAAGGTCGTGGGTTCAATTCCCGCCTTAGGCAGTTCGATTTTTTCAAGTTATTTATAATTTTCAAATCAGCCCATATGTTGTCCCGAAGTGGTGGTAGGGCAAGCTACAAATGTATATTTGGGACGTGTATAAGTGCCCTGAAAAGGGCCTATGTACTGAATATTGCATTGCTGGAAAACTGGATTGCCTGGGATAGGGCCTTTAGGGTCTTGCTCCTGCAGTGGAGACTAAATGACCTGATGATGATTTTGAACCAAAAACTGCGGCCGAATTCAGAGTCAGATGAGTTGAAATAATAAAAGATGAACTAAACATGATACTCGGAAATTACACAAGCAACCACAGTATTATTTTGGGACCGTACGCTGTAAACGGGATTTATTACATGCGCTATAAATCAAGCGGTAATAAGACATAATTTATTTATTCGCTACAAAAATAATCCTTGTAATACTCGTAAGAGTAGGCGCACACCGTTGATTTTTAGTTGGCCGATAGTTGTGCCCGATTTTAATTTGTATGAAGAATCGGCCAAATCGAATCGGCGTAGTGTGCGCACTCCCATACATGCCCATACTGATCAACTGCCCGACTAAACTATCGGCCGACGAAAAATCAACGGTGTGCGCAGTGGCTACAGTACCTCTGTCGCACACTGGTTAGGGCTCTTTTATCAAAAATACCAACTAGAATTATCGGGTCATTACTCATTACGATGAGATGATGATGAGATGAGTTCTTATTTAAATCAGTGAAGTTCAAATTTGTCCCGGCCCGGGGGCAAGTTAAACTGTTATTGTAGATCAACAAAATTTATCAGAAGGGCAGGGTTCAACTTCCCTCTAATGCAAAGCTTAGTACGATCTTAAGAACTAAATATTCATTACGAATTTACCTGAGAAAGGCATAAAAATACAAAAGAACAACAGTCATAGTCCATAGACAAGCATATCCATTTTATTTACTTAGCGACACATTGACCTATATTAGGTCACTTTTGTCAATCAATAAAATGTTTATTAGAGTAGTCTGGCCTTCAGAGCGGCTTTTAACATTATAGGGTTGGTTGAAGCTAGGGTTACCAACTTACCATCACCGCGTAGACAAGTTGGTAAAATGTGACAGTTCGAAATACCTCCATCGTCATTATCATTTCAGCTACAGGACGTCCACTGCTGAACATAAGCCTCCCCCAATGACTTCCGCATCGCATGGTTGGTAGCGGCCTAGCGAAATACCTTCGCTCCATGGTTTTTTTTTTCGTATTATGAAGCGCCCCTAAACTATTCCTCGTAGCCCACCTATTTTATGTTGCCCTGGTACTTTTTATTCATCTTAGGGTGGATTCGACCAAACAAGAGTAAATTAATCTCAGAATAAATTGTCAGTTAGACATATTTCCCATACTGAAACTGTCAATGTGCCAGTTAGGTATGCCATGAGTAATTCTCGGATAAAAGTTTGGTCGAATCGGGCTATTTTATTATGGTAACCCTAGTAGTGGAGACTAGGGGACCGTCCCCATAGGATTGCGTCATGGTGTGATCTATGGTTGTATATCTATGGTTGGAGTTGTGCCAAACGTGGCTGTTTGGGTAATGATAATCGTTAGATCGCCTTCTTTATGGTGTATTTGTTTTACCGTCATTTGTCACCATGTCTTCATTTGGCTCTGGAGTCTGAATGAAGTAATTCTATTATTTGGAATGTTAACTGCCTAGCTCGCTTTTACATCTAAATTACCTATAACTCAAAGGTTGACTGACATAGTGATCTATCAACGCACAGCCCAAACCACTGGACGGATCGGGCTGAAATTTGGCATGCAGGTAGATGTTATGACGTAGGCATCCGCTAAGAAAGGATTTTACGAAACTCCACCCCTAAGGGGGTAAAACGGGATCCACGCGTACGAAGTCGCGGGCGGCCGCTAGTTAATTTATACAATTGATTGTGTGGCTGTAATAAACGTATGGAAGCTGGAAACATCGAATTTTCGGATAGATCAATTTTATGTTCTGTAACCTATTTATTGATACCGTTTGATAGAGCTCGTGAAGGAATTTCAGGATCAGTAATCAGTTTTCGATATCGTGTATAGAAATAATCGAGTGAGATCCCTTATCTTTTCCACCCTGTATATTACGTGAAATACATTTACTACGGATTAAAATTAATTTAATCAGTGAGTTTAGTCGCTTACCGAGACAAAACCTAATCTGTATCGGTCTAGACATCTTAAAAAACACAAAACTTAGAGTCATTACGAGTGTCTGGTTCTCACACTAAAGATGTGCATAATGTGTTATCGATACTTCACTGTCGATATAAAACTACTAAATATTGGTGCAACACTTGAGTTGAAATTGAAGTAAATTATTAATACACAAAATGCACATCACACAGAACTGACAAGTATCATCCTCAACTGCATCTCACTTTCTCACTTAACACCAGAGCCCCGATTACGGTAACTTTTAACGTTTCCAATCCAGACGCGCTTCTGATTCTGCGATACGATTGGTCAAAACAGCTGACGTACGCTGTTGAACGACCAATCGTATCGCAGAATCGAGAAGCGTCTGGATTGTAGACGTTAAAAGTTACCGTAATCGGGGCTCAGGTGCGATTGTAGTGAAATACCTGCTCTTGTCTTGCATAAAAAAAGCCTATTTTTTTTTATACAAAATCTAATAACTTTGTAACCATTTCTGCCGGGTCATAAAGTAAAATAGATTTTTAAAAGACATTTTGAAATACATTGTATTGTAAGGAAGTCCAGTCCAACCCTGGCCTTAAATTATAAAACCATGTAAAAAACAAATAAATTTTCCGATTTCTGAATTCCCTTTCATATCATTTACAAACAAAGACTGAAGAAAAAGAAACGTGTGTAAAAAAATAGTACCTACATAATTTATGTTTGTTCTACCTGGCAACCTATTTTTGAGTCTCTAATCGCGTCGAATCTTGTGAAATCTTATATTTTTAGCATCGTGACTTTTAGAAACTGGACGCTAGAGGTTGAATTATATTTACGGTTGAAATAAAACATCTTTGACACGAGATACAGTGGGAGGTGTTTGATTTATAGTTTACGCCAGTAGACTCCAGAATTTTTAAAATAAAGTATGATAAAAGACTATTAGGTAGACTGACGCTCTGGTGAAGGTTGCGGGAAGTACCTGGATGCTTGCCCTTTCATTCTTTTTGGACAACGTATCTGAAAGTTTGTCATTCTCTAATTTATTACATGAAATGGCACTTTGATCTCCACTGCAGGAGCGCGACCCTCTCTAATTGACCACAAAGGAGTGAAGGATTTGTCCTACACTCCCCACGCTGGCCAGACGGGTTGAAGAGGCCTGGTGTTCGCATATTTGTCCCTTAGTCACCTCTTACGACATCCACGGTAGAGTGGGGGTGGTCATAATTCCACTCTACTGGAACCACACAGCACAATTATTATATGTATTCTAAAGCTTTGAGCATATCTGAGCACCGTTAATCAAATAGTTAACTTCGTTAATCGTTAAACCGTACAAAAAAATTTAACTTCGTTAAACGTTAAAACGTTACATTTCGCAAGATTTAACGGAAGTTAACGTTAATCGTTAATCCGTTAACACATGATAATAAAACGAAAAAAATAATTGTATGCAAGGTTCAAAATAATTTCGAAAGCTTGTATCACGCATGGAATTTATTCCTCTTTTATGTTTGCGCTACAAGCTTTCTATAAGTACAATTATTTTTTTTTTGTTTTAGTACAACTGCATTTCAGAATAAAAGCTTGTTTTTAAAAAAGTTTTTTAATTATTCACGATCACTTATCGTTTCCAACCTGTATAATCCGGCTGTATCTCCAGGTCACCTAGATACATTACATAGCAGCTGTAATAGACATTTAGGTACATACATTTACCAATTTTGGTGATAAATAGGCATTTTGTATTAGTTTTTGTATAACGCCTGAACAAAAACAAGGGGTAATATTTTGGTGTTATACATAGATTTCGAATATAAAAAATATATAATTTAAGTAATTAAGACATGACAAAATAAAATTGAGGTATGTCTCGTTTCTGTCGGGTCTGGGTTTTTTTGTATGGGGCGTGACCGTTCTTCTTTCAGCTCAATCGGTTGAGGAAAACTGGTCTTAAATTCAGTTGCAAGAGTTGTCCCACACATACTAACAAGTCGTTAGTGATCTGGTTATGAAAACTGTTGTTTTGGGTTCTGGAAGTTCTGGAAGCCCGAACATACTTGTCAGAACGCGTTTTTCTAGCGTTTTTCAGCGTGCATGCTGTATCTTTTTGGTAAATAGTAGGTACTGGATTAACGATTAACGGACTTAGGGTAATTTAACGGAAGTTAACGAGTCCGTTAACATTTTTTAAAGTTAACTTAAAAGTTAATCCGTTAATAGAAATGTTAACTTCGTTAATTAACGATTAACGAGTTAATGCCCAGCTATGGCTTTGAGATAGGTATAATGGTTCATAACATGACTAAAATATGACTTCTACGTTACAGACAATGCTTTTAGTAGGTCCTACAATTAGCGGTGTAGAGCTAGACTGACGTTGGTGTCAATTTTTAAACTCAGGTAGACGCATAGTCTATAAACAATGCATTAATTTTAAACGGTTTTCCGTCGATGATAATGGATGATACATTTGTTATTTTTTGTCAAACAAAATAACAGAAATCTGTAGAAAAAATAAGTACTCCGACTGACGATTTTTTAGCATTTTTCACAATGATACCTAGCAAATAAAATATTTATAAAACTATTTAAAAGTTATTAATGTAATTAATGATATTTGTTCCATGCACCATTACTATCTAAACATAAAATTTTCAAATAAAACAAGATTGCCAAAAATGACTATGACGCTTCATTTCCCGCTAAGTCGATAATGGTTCCAACTGAAGTATCGACAAAAGAATCGATTATCCACGCTGCCCATCCCTATCCACGGTTCGCCGGACAAGCCAAGGTCAAGGACACGGAAACAGAGGAACTTTATTACTACTCGCTTTTGTTGAAGGTCATTTAAGTTGATACTGTGATAGATGATTTCCTATATTAAATTTTAATTTTTAAAATCACCAGTCCAATCAGAGGCTTGTCATAGAAAACTGTATCACCCGTGTCCCTTCTTGACAAATTGTAGGTACAGACAGGATGACTGGAACTGAACCCGCCATAACAAATTTCAAAAACCTTTAATTTTTTTGGGAACCAAAAATATTCTTTAAACATAAACAGTCTATAATTAATTATCTTAAGATATCCCAGGGAAGAGTTGGGAACTTGGGACGGACCTACAATACTATGCCAGAACCATACGACTACCATCTAACACTGGAATAAAATTTAATGAATACACAAGTTTGACCAAGCTTTTTGATGTGTTCATCAAAACACAACCTAAGTAGAAAAATGGTATAAATATTTCAATTTTTTGTTTCAGGATATGGAGCCAGTGCCAGTCCCAAAACACCAGTACGGCAACTTCTATACGGGAGACTCGTACATCGTGCTAAAGGTTAGTCATCATCATCATCAGACAGCGCTAAGCGGTTATCACGCCATTTTATCGATTTTGCCCATATATTTTGACGTCGAAAAAATGTTATCACGGCGCGCGCATTTTAGGCCTACAGGTCATAGCAGACTTATCACCTCGGAAAAGTATCAACACCGTATCGCCTTTCGCGAGCTGTCATGTGCGAGGCGAGGCGTTTACTTTACGATGCGGATAAGTGTGCGTTGCAGTTAATGGAGTTTCATACAAAGAATAACCGCCTCGAGTCTATATGGTTACAATCCCTTTCCGGGTTGATAAATGTGCGACGTCCTTTAGTCTCCAATAAAGGAGCAAATAACTTACCAAGGGCAAATGAAGCATTCGTCCTACACCTTTAACAACATAACAGGTAGCACACCTGACTATGGACTAAGTTTCAGTCTCCACTGTAGGAGCAGGGCCCTCTTTATTTCACCAGAGGCAAATGGAGGATTTGGTCTAGACCTTTTACGACATATCAGGTGCTCCTATGGTCCATAGCCATTTATGTTTTCACCTTCGGCCTGATCATGATCACTTTCCATCACGTAATATTTGTCTTTCTATTGTGAGAACACAATGCTTTAGTCGTCATTGTTTATAATTTCCCCAAAAGTTTTATAAATAACTTTTCACGCTTAATTACAGAACTGATTTAAATGAGTTATTGAGATTGTTTGAGACCCAAGAACAACAGAACTTTGACCGACCGAAATTCACGAGTACCTACGAAGTCGCGGACACAAGCTAGTTTAATTAGATTTCTAGTTAGACCAACTAATAAGAGACCTATTAACTAATGTAAATTATTCAGTTAACGAATTATCAACATTTTTTTATACAAAATACCTAAATGATGAACTGTTTTGACAACTCATAAAAAGCAAAATAATATTAACTTTATCAATAAATTGGCTACTAAATAACTCAAACAAACAATCCCTCCATAAATTTAATTCGAAACATCAAAGATAGTTTGGATGAACCACATTAAAGTGTTTGGCAACCGTCCAAACGCGGTCGAACTATTTTGAAAACGATGTGAAATGATTATTTTATTATCTACCAGCTTCTGTTAGAGGGTACGCTTCCTTATGATGCATCTGGTACCAAACCGTTTTCTTTTTTTGATGACAGTTTAACTTTCTCCCGGGACAAACTTGGCCTTCACTGGTTGGGTTATTGGCGGTCAAGCTGTAGATCCTGGGTACATAGGAGTTGCAGCGGTAGAAACAAGAGGTGGGAATAGTCCCGTAGAGTGTCAACAACCGTAATATTCCTTATTTTTTTAAGTCTAATTTGCTATTCGGTTTTTTCATCAAACTGGACCTGTTAAAACATAATTCCTGATTAATTACAAGCATTGTTTTAAAGAACTGTTCCCAATAGCAGCTTCCTGCATATTTTTTGCAAAATACCGTACCTGCCAAAAACGGGACACACAAGTTCAGTTTTGCGGGATCTAGTAATGGAGGATCTCGAAATAACCGTTTTCCGTGGGAAAGGAAAATGTTCAATTCCAAATCTAAGGAAGTTTACAAACTACTGAAGTATTTCTGACTCAAACTACATAGAGTCATAATGACTAAGGAAATGTGAATCTATGAATAGATACCCACATCTGGTACAGTCGTACCTACTACATTACGCATAGACCTCCATCATCAATTATATTCATTTACTTCCTACGTACCTGTAATTATCAAGCCCGTATGATACATGCAGAGTGTTAAAAAATCTCTATCTTTTTCAAACAAACACGCAGTAAGAAAAACATGCTTCTTTAACTAGTAATTTATTAACTTATCACAAAATTTTGATGACAAAAGTTTAAAACAAAATAACACAAACTTAAAATTAATCGCACGTTCTATGTGTGTGGCTACAGCTGAGCATGACCCTCTCGAAATCATAAGGCAAATGGGGGTTTTGGCCTGATGGGTTGAAAAAGCCTTCCTTTAGTCCACAGGAATTTATGGTCGTCCTCTTACTCCACCGGAACCACACTGCTAATAGTGGAAATTTTTAAACTAAAACAATTGATGTTCACTTTTGATTTTTACCTCTTTCTACCTATAATGTGTTCGTTCGTTTCAGCCGAAATACGTCCACTGCTGGACAAAGGCCTCCCCCAATTATTTCCACAAAGACCGGTCCTGCGCCGCTCGCATCCAGGCACTTCCCGCGACCCTCACCAGTTCGTCGGTCCACCTAGTGGGAGGCCTGCCCACGCTACGTCTTCCGGCTCGTGGTCGCCACTCAAGAATTTTCCTGCCCCAGTGGCCATCAGCTCTACGAGCTAATATGTGCCCCGCCCATTGCCACTTGATTTTAGCGATTCTGCGGGCTATGTCAGTCACTCTGGTTCTCCTATGGATCTCCTCATTTTTGATTCTACATAGGTATAATGTGTGTTTGTGGTAAATAAATGAACATTTTATATCTCTATCCATCTATCTATCATTCCAGACAACTGGAGACGCGCCCCGTTTTTCCTGGGACATCCACTTCTGGCTGGGCTCCAAGACGTCACAGGATGAGGCTGGGGCGGCGGCCATCTTGTCTGTCAACATGGATGACCAGAAGTTCAATGGTGCCGCCATCCAGCACCGGGAGACTCAAGGATATGAGTCTAAGCAGTTCTTGGGGTACTTTGAGCCAGGTAACTTCTTTTATTTACTTTTGTATAGGCCACACACCAATCGGTCACTATGGATATTATGTTCTATGTTCAGCAGTGGACGTCCTGTGGCTGAAATGATGATGATGATGATGAGGCCACGCAACGAAAGTTGAGGCGAACACATACACTGATGTAATATTTGTTAAAGTATTTCATGAACCGTGATAGTAGTCCAGTCAATAAAGTATTCTTAACCTTAACTAAAGTATTATTAACCAAAAAAAGCTGATTTTTGCTTCATGACGTGACTTATGCCCGTTTTCACCATCAATCCCTAAAAGTGACCCCTATGAAAACAAAATTCCTCTTATTTGTTACCATAGTGGTCACTTAAAAATTAGGAATTGATGGTGAAAACGGGCATCAGTCAAGGTTTTCTATACCTTGTATAGTTTTCGAAACATCTGCTTAGATCTGTAATTTGGAAAAAATCATCGACGTGCAAAAATCCTCGACGCGTTTCTGTGGGTTTTTATTAACCTTTTTGCTATGGTCTATTCCAGCCATCAGATATTTGGAGGGAGGCCACGCGTCAGGTTTCAACCACGTCACCATCAACGCGGGCGTAGAAAAACGACTGTTCCAGATTAAGGGCAAGAGGAACGTCAGAGTGAGACAGGTGAGCTCTCTCTCAATCTTCAGTTAAAGGATATCTACTGCTGGGCAAAAGCCTCCCCCAAGGATTCAGCGAAAGGCTGACCATTGCTGGACAAAGGCCTCACCCAAGAATTTCCACACCAATTGGTCGTCACTTCCCGTGACCTTCAATAGATCGTCGGTCCACCGCTTGCCCACACTACGTATTCCGGCCCATGGTCGCCAATCGAGACTTAAGTTTGGCAATTCTGCGGCCTTTGTATTTTTACATAGGTACCTACTTTGATTTTCCTGCGGATCTCCTAATTGATTCGATCACGTAGGGAAATTCCGAGCGTGTCACTCTCCATCGCAATTTATGTAACCTTATGAGGCCTATAGTAAAACCACATATCCGTACCGTATGGCATCAACAGCAATACACACTGGTCGATGTCAAATATTCTTTTTTACCAACTTCTAAATATAACTCAAAGGTGACTGACATAGTGATCTATCAACGCACAGCCCAAACCACTGGACGAATCGGGCTGAAATTTGGCATGCAGGTAGATGTTATGACGTAGGCATCCGTTAAGAAAGGATTTTACGAAACTGCACCCGTACGGGTAAAACGGGATCCACGCGTACAAAGTCGCTGGCGGCCGCTAGTTCTACATAAATTACAATTATTTTACATGCCAAATGCGGTAGCCCGTGCATTGCAGTCAACCCCTATACCCAACTCCCAAATTCTTTATCTCCAGGTGGACGCATCAGTATCCTCAATGAACAAGGGCGACTGCTTCATCCTGGACGTAGACCACGACATCTTCGTGTTCGTCGGAGAGAAAGCCAAGAGTGTGGAGCGGCTGAAGGCCATCACAGTAGCTAATCAGATCCGGGACCAGGACCATAGCGGCAGGGGGAATATTGAGATCATTGGTGAGTTCGTTCGTTCGTTTCAGCCAAATGACGTCCACTGCTGGACAAAGGCCTCCTCCAAGGTTTTCCACAATGCACTCCTGCGCTGCCCGTATCCAGGCTCTTCCCGCGACCTTTACCTACCAGATCGTCGGTCCACCCAGTAGGAGGCCGGCCCATGCTACGTCTTCCAGCCCGTGGTCGCCACTCGAGAACTTGGTGAGTATCATCGTCCTAATATGTACTTTTTATTGATCCATAACGGGGAAGCTTTGTGGTCAGCTGCCCCCCTGGAAATCTCACAGAACTCGCCTAAAAGCAGTACAGTCCCTAGGCCAGAAGCTGGGAATGACTCCAACTGCCAAAACACAACAATGCTGTCTTAGGTAAGATGGTGGTAGCTAGCCAATCAGACTTAGAACAGACCAAGCAGAAAATTGTCCCCAGTCGTGCCAAAACAAAGGCGACTATAGTCTGGTCTGTGAGCACGTAGAATTTTAGCAATATAATTATACGCGCGAGCGATAAGGATGGGTAGCTTGGGGTCATTGGACAAAATTCTACGTGCTCGCAGACCAGACTATAGATGAATTATTATTTAAAGAGTTATTATTTTTACTTTTAGACCCGTACTCAAACGAAGGTGACGTGGAGAAATTCTTCGAGATCCTGGGATCCGGAGACATGGACTCGGTGTCTGACGACTCTGAAGGCGGTGATGATGAGGTGAGGATGACCAGGTTTTGACTTTGATCATCATCTTGGTACTTGGTTATGGTTCATGTGTTAAGGTCACGTCGCCTATTTACGTCCACCACTCTATTCGCATCAAAATGACGGATCACTCTTTTAAAATAGTAGAAAATACGTAATATGTCATGATAAATGCTGAGCGGGCCTATTGACACAGTGGCCCATTATTTTCTATATTCGTTTTGTGTTGTTAATGTTTATAATGTGTGTGTTACTTCGATAGTGAGTGTAGTGGAAGTTAATTAAATGAAAGAGTGGACTGTAATATACAAGCATTATGGCTTTCGGTTCTGTGTCTAGGGGTTTTAATATCATACGAGCGCCTTATCTAATTTTCACTATATTGAAATAGACAGTGGTCGTCTTCATGTCACACTAATATTGATTGCCGCGAATAATATATTTTTACAAAATAAAACTTTTGATAAGAATTTTATTGTCCATAATTAGTCTTGACGTGTTTTATTTTTTACACAATTTTATTTGAATGACATAAAAATATAATGTCCTAACTCCTAACTATATTTTGACAGGAGTTTGAACGCGGCAACATCCAAGAAGTGACCCTCAGCGAGATCTCCGACAGCACTGGCAACATGAAGATCACGAAACTGTCCAAACCGTTCACCAAGGAACTGCTGAACAGCAAAGTAAGGAGTAAAAAGTAAAGCCCGGTCTGTGAGCACGTAGAATTTTGGGGTCCATATTGGCTCACCTAAAGTTATTTACCCGAAATTGTTCTTCCTAACGATTTTAAATCCGAATGATCACTCTTCCTAAAATTTTTTATCCTAAAGTTTTCATTCATACTATTTGTAGTGCTACCGGCGATGTTCATAACACTCATGTTTCCGAAAATTGTAATTAATAATATCATTTATGTAAATATATTTAAACTCCTACTGTTTTTTATCATAACACTTTTATCCCTAAACATTACCATAATATTTTCACTCATACCATAGAATATTAATAAATACTACGTACAGAAGTACGTTCTTCGCGAATGAAACGTAAGGCCACAGTTCTAACCTAACCTAAACCAATAATAATGAATAGGACCGATTCGTTTCTGGAACTTGACTGAATGACTGGAGCGGGACTCTGGCTTCGCTCGCTCGACTCGTGCGTTGTGGTCACAGTTCTAACCTAACCTAAACCAATAATTATGAAGAGGACCGATTCGTTTCTGGAACTTGACTGAATGACTGGAGCGGGACTCTGGCTTCGCTCGCTCGGCTCGTGCGTTGTGGTCACAGTTCTAACCTAACCTAAACCAATAATTATGAATAGGACCGATTCGTTTCTGGAACTTGACTGAATGACTGGAGCGGGACTCTGGCTTCGCTCGCTCGGCTCGTGCGTTGTGGTCACAGTTCTAACCTAACCTAAACCAATAATTATGAATAGGACCGATTCGATTCTGGAACTTGACTGAATGACTGGAGCGGGACTCTGCCTTCGCTCGCTCGGCTCGTGCGTTGTGGTCACAGTTCTAACCTATCCTAAACCAATAATTATGAATAGGACCGATTCGATTCTGGAACTTGACTGAATGACTGGAGCGGGACTCTGGCTTCGCTTGCTCGGCTCGTGCGTTGTGGTCTCAGTTCTAACCTAACCTAAACCAATAATTATGAATAGGACCGATTCGTTTCTGGAACTTTAATATATCGTCAAAGAAAGAAATCTAAACAAAAAAGATATGACTTTGAATAATAGTGTAAAATATGGTTATGTTGAGAAAATCTAGGAGAACAAATAAAAGTATAATAGATGTTTATTGCTGATGACATTATGAAGTTGAATGATTCGGAATTATGAACATTAGAGACAGAGTAGTTAGGAATTGTGATTGTTAGGATGAAAAATTTTAGGAAGAACATTTTCGGACTTCCAATTTTCGGAGTTGAAAATTTAGGTGAACTTTGGCGCACCCAGAATTTTGTCCAATAACTCCAAGCTACCCATCCTTATCGCTCGCGTGTAATTATATTGCTGTCGTGACTGTGCGACGGGCGCCCGCAGTGAGTGTGCGAACGCGACAGCAACATAATTACGCGCGAGCGATAAGGATAGGTAGCTTGGGGTCATTGGACAAAATTCTACGTGCTCGCGGACCAGACTATAGACAGCATTAATGTAAGACACCAAATCGTTTTTTGAATCCATACTACAACCATAAAGATTCCTTCGGAATAAAGCAACAACCACGAGCTGTTAAACAAAACCAATTTTGTGTGTCACTGGCGTGTCGCGAGCTGTCATCGCCTTTCGCGCGCTGTCAACCGCGAGGCGAGGCGTTTACGTTACGGTGCGGTTAAGTGTGCGTTGCAGCATGGAGTTTCAAACAAAGAATACTGACCGCCTCAAGTTGATACGGTTACGATCCTTTTCCAGGTTGATAAGTGTGCTACGTGGTTAAGTCGACAAGGTTGTAATTATAATTGTAAAAGTGTTTTCTGTCTGTGACATTTTCACTCTTAACTGATAATAGACCATAATCATAGCCCGCAGAATTACTAAACTTAAGTGGCAGTGGGTGGGGCACATAGCTCGTAGAGCTGATGGCCGCTGGGGAAGAAAAGTTTTAGAGTGGCGACCATGGGCCGGAAGACGTAGCGTGGGCAGTCCTCCCATTATGTGGACCGACGATCTGGTAAAGGACCGGTCGTTATGGAAATCCTTGGGGGAGGCCTTTGTCCAGCAGTGGACGTCATTCGGCTGAAACGAACGAACGAACCTGGATGCGGGCAGCTTTGTCCAGAGTGGACTTTATTTGGCTGAAACAAACCATCTTAATTATAAATGTTTTTATGTATTACAGGAATGCTATATCTTGGACACTGGAAGCAGCGGCATATACGTCTGGGTTGGAAGAAATTCCAATGAAAAAGTAAGTCTTAAGACCACACAATATCAGACTATACATTTTCGTTTAAAAATAGAATCTATTACAAATAAATAAGATGCACGATGTTAAGTTTGATGTGCTTGCCATAATCATTGTAGGGTAAATGTACCAGTTTTGGCCACCATTACACAGTTTTTAGCTTAGTCTACCCTACATAAAATAATTGAACCTTAACTCTGATGCATTGGCTAAGATTTTTTTTGTTTTTTTACAGGAAAAGGCTGAAGCCATGAACAGAGCACAGCAGTACCTGAAAGCACACAGCCTTCCCCCATGGGTAAGACAGTCAAAAATATCTACTTACAAGTCTACTGACGCCCGTATAAACAAACGATGCTTGCTTAAGTGAACCAGCAAATCGAACGCTCAGTGTTGAATAGAGCTCTGTGATTGGTTCGTGTGTCACCCTGTGCGTCCACGCGCACTGTGAGACCTCATAGTAATGTTTGTGAATACGGGCGTGAGTCAGTGACGTGCACGGGAGGAGTGACATTTATGACGTGACAATGTATATGTCACCGTAAAATTGTGAATTCCGTCAGTTATAATCTGACGTAGTTAAATTACAATCTAACCTAACCTAACCTAACCCACTGTTAGTTTACAATCTAACGCGCTATATTATAAACTGACAGAGTTCACAATTTCACGTTGACATATACAAGTCCAAAGCACATCTGAAGTGTCGTTGATGTTTGACTTCACAAAAAACAGTCCCATGCTGCTCCCATACCTCTTAAAATATCTTTATTTAACTCTGAAAAAACATTTCCTTTCGAGTAACTTCATACTTTTTTCTTAACCAATGGTTGACTGGTAGACTGCCTATTAGCATTAAATCCGCCATTTGAACAACCTCACATACAAAAAAAGAGTTTTCAAATAACTAAATAAGTAGATGTGCTACATTTATCCCTATTTACTTTTTTTTTAAACTAACTGACTAACGGCGAACTTTGTGCCGCCTATGTTCAATGTTCATGCCCTAGTGTAAGATTCTAAAAGTGAAATAATTTTTAAATTAGTCCAGTAGTTTCAGTATACATCATAAACCTTCCTCTTTAATCACTTTATGTATTAAAAAAACCGCATCAAAATCCGTTGTGTAGTTTTAAAGATTTAAGCATACATAGGGACAGACAGACAGAAAAGTGAATTTGTTTATACTATAATAGTGATTACAATTTATATGTTTTTGTTTCAGGTGCACGTGTCCAAAGTTCCTGAGGAGATCGAACCGACTGCCTTCAAGCAGTATTTTGAAGACTGGAATTAATGTAATATTTATAATTACTATGCTAAATGTAGAGAGAAAATGACATGATAACCACGAGTTTATTAAAAAGTAACTGAACCATGTCCCAAACAAAAATCCTTATTGAGGCTGAGTACTTAATCGTAACTATAACCAAAACTTGTTTTTTGTATGAAGTTTGAGAACTTTGAACTTAAACAAACATCAAAAATCTATGAAACTCCATAAAAAAGCACCGGTTATCGTTATAGTTACGGTTAAAGTTAGGCGGTGCAACTCAGCCTAAGTGTGTGACAAGACAAGGTAATCTATTGTGAGTTTTATACTATTACTAGCTGACCCGGCGAACTTTGTTCCGCCTTAATGGCAATAAATAAGCAGACTTTTTTTTATTTCGAACGGGATAAAAAGTATCCTATGTCCTTCTCCTGGCTCTAAACTACCTCTGTTCCGTCATCGTAACTTTTCGTTTAACTTTCATAATAATCGCGGGTATCGATGTCTCTGCATAAGTATCAATGTAGTGACAAAACGCAGTCAAACTAGGCTGCTTATGCGCTCCGTCCTTCGAGTTGGATTTTTATTGACAACTTGAGGGCAGTCACGCTTTGGAGGCCGCACCGGTCACATCGCCATCTTCTATTCGTATCTAACGGGCCCGTCGACGCGTGTGCTAGTCACCCTCCCATGTGATCTCAACTTACCTCATCATCTACACGCCCAAATGTGCTAGAAACCGAAGGAATTCCCAACTGCTGATGCCCATACTCGAGGTGGAACTGTCAACGATCTGCTCAAGGTACGTGAGTGCATAGTATTTTGTCATTGCGTACTGCTCGTACAGAACATCGATCCCTTTTTACCGGCAAGCCTTCTACGGTTTGATCCAGGTGTAGCAGGAAGCCACCAATCGCCTTTTAATCGTGGTGCGTTTGCTACATCCTTTTTGGTGCCGAAACCCGGGACAGTTTCCACCTAGCACCTGTAAATTGTACTGTATCGCGTTCCAGATATCGTGGTATTTCTGGTTAAAATACTCGGCAATTAGTAAAATCTATTCATTTCATTCATCGGTTATTGGTTGCAGAGTTAATNATCAACGTACGCGTGACACATGTCAGCAGAGCACCGAGCGACGTGACCTCACTCTGGAACGCCTCGAGGCGGACTGAATTTGAACGATTCGTGCGCGGCGATTTATAGTAGTTTTCAAATACTCATAGAAAAAAAATTACAATGAATTATTTTAAATTTCAAAGTAAATATTTTAGATAAGATATTCTTCTATTGTATTAAGCTATTTTTGTGTTGAATAAAGGAAGAATATTGGTGAAAAAATCACTTTGATTTTTTGGTATTTCACGTTTTTTTAATTTGTGATTTCTTATTGTAAAATGCTTAAATCTAAAAATTTTCTCAGATAACTATTTGCCCAAGGATCTATGCTATAGGATATAAATGTTTGTTAAATCGTTTTCACAGTATTTTTATAAAAATTTCAGCTTGTAAACTGACGCTAAAGTGGATATTTAATAAACCTGTGTGGACTTATCTTGATATAATTCTTGAATACTAAACTAATCGCAATATTTTCTCAATTAACTATTTAGACGACGAAATTGCCTAATTATTTATGCCTATAACATATTTGTAGTATTACTGGTTAATGATTGTAACGAGTTGAAAAAGTACTGTTTTTGCGCCAAACGGCGTAAACGCTCTTAAGTTTGCCGCTGGCGATATGACGTCACTCGAAATGAAGCGTCTATAACTTTAACCAACTATATTTAAAAGATTTTTTATTTATTGTTATTGATAAAAATTGTGTATTTGCGTAAAATAAGACACATTAATTGCGTTTAATCATTAACTAATTGCGTTTAATCGCGGTTGGGAGAGGGGACGCGCATTCCACGGACCGGCAAACTTAGCGCGAACGGGTAGTATTGCACATTTGCCCCCAGCGATACATGAACCTGCAACCTCAATACTTTAATTTAATTCGCAAGTTACTTAATCAATATGTACTCTTTGCAGAATTACCCAATGAGCTAACTACGAATGACATTAGCGATTATTATTCCTAGTAAATAAAAATTGTACACAAATAAATTATGATTTATGCTTAACTAGCTTTCCGCCCGCGGCTTCGCCCGCGTGGAATTTTGTCTGTCACAGAAAAACTTTATCGCGCGCGTCCCTGTTTCAAAAACCGGGATAAAAACTATCCTATGTTCTTTCCCGGGACTCAAACTATCTCTATGCCAAATTTCATCAAAATCGGTTGCGAGGTTTAAGCGGGAAAGCGTAACAGACAGACAGACAGACAGACAGACAGACAGACAGACAGACAGACAGACAGACAGACAGACAGAGTTACTTTCGCATTTATAATATTAGTTGGGATTTATAATTATAATAATAAAAATAAAGTTAGTTTGTCTGTCTGTTGAATGTCCACTGCAGAACATAGGCCTCCCCCAATGATTACCAGATTAGCCGCTTGGAAGCGTCCTGCATCGGCTGCATCCAGCGCCTTCCTGCTACCTTCATGATGTCGTCGGTCCACCTTGTGGTGGACGTCCCACGCTGCGTTTTCCGGTGCGTGGCCTCCACTCCAGAACCTTGCTGCCCCATCGGCCGTCAGTTTCGGGCTATGTCAGTTTTCAGGGCCCAGTTGCTGGATGTAAAAATATTTAATTCAATCCAGACTTTTTTGAGCGTTGTTCTAATTTTCGTATTCACAAACATTACTATGAGGTCTCACATGCGCGTGGACTCACAGAACGACACACGAACCGATCACAGAGCAATATTAAACGCTGTGCGTTCGATTTGCTGCTTCACTTAAGCAAGCATCGTTTGTGAGTACGGGCGTTATTATCACTTATTACGTCGAGCGAATCCACGGGTCAAGATATAACTAGGTACCTCTTTATATAACAGAAATGTTTACGCCGTCTGACGTACCATTCTGACTTCAAACCAGTCAGTGTCGCGCTTTTGATCGACGCACGCGCATCAGAGTTGAAGTAACAATGTAAGTATTTTTTATTTTATTTATTTACGAGTACTAAGTGACACGGCGAAGTTCGTATCGCTTTTAAAAATATTCTAGGATAGCCAGCCATGATGTCAGGATTCTAATAGTAAAGAATTTTTGAAATCAGTTAAATAGTTTTGGAGCTTCCATACAAACAGTCAAATCTTTACTCTTTATAATAACAGTGACTAACTGCCCCGGCGAACTATCGTACCGATTGTTTTTCTTTTTGAACAATCCATTTTCTAAACCAAATTCAGCTAAATCAGTCCATTGAGTTTTAGCACGTAGCAAGACAAACGAATAGCAAATTCATTTTGATATACAGGGTGATTTTGTAATCAGTCTCCTTTTTTGAATAAGCTCTAAAAACAATTTAACAATAGGTACAACTTTATCTTAATGAGGATTCCGTCAACTGGGACCGCAATTAACTGGGACCGCGGTCCCAGTCGCCGGATGCGTAAAAATTAAATAATTTTCTTCCGGCGACTGGGACCACTCATGGATTTTAGTACTGTACCGATTTTGGATTGAATAATATTTTCTTTAAAGTTATCTATGAGTGGTCCCAGTCGCCGGAAGAAAATTATTTAATTTTTACGCATCCGGCGACTGGGACCGCGGTCCCAGTTAATTGCGGTCCCAGTTGACGGAATCCTCATTAAGATAAAGTTGTACCTATTGTTAAATTGTTTTTAGAGCTTATTCAAAAAAGGAGACTGATTACAAAATCACCCTGTATATCAAAATGAATTTGCTATTCGTTTGTCTTGCTACGTGCTAAAACTCAATGGACTGATTCAAGTTTCTTTCACACTGTTTTGTCTATTTCATATTATTATTATCTTATAGTATGTAGGATAAATGAAATTAGTATAATTTCGAACTCCTCCTATGTTCTTCTGATTTAATTTCGTTGCGGGTCCAATGACAGTTTAACTTTCCCCGGGACAAACTTGACCTTCATTGGTTGGGTTTTTATGGCGGTCAAGCTGTAGATCCTGGCTACACAGGAGTTGCGGTGGTGGGAACGAGAAGTGGGAATAGACCCGTAATAGTTTAAAGGAACCTATCCTATATCCATATTTTAGGAGCGACTCATAATGAATAAAAATACCACGATTAAAAATAATTAAGATGAGGCTTCCGGCGACTGGGACCGCAATTAACTGGGACCGCGGTCCCAGTCGCCGGATGCGTAAAAATTAAATAATTTTCTTCCGGCGACTGGGACCACTCATGGATTTTAGTACTGTACCGATTTTGGATTGAATAATATTTTCTTTAAAGTTATCTATGAGTGGTCCCAGTCGCCGGAAGAAAATTATTTAATTTTTACGCATCCGGCGACTGGGACCGCGGTCCCAGTTAATTGCGGTCCCAGTCGCCGGAAGCCTCATCTTAATTATTTTTAATCGTGGTATTTTTATTCATTATGAGTCGCTCCTAAAATATGGATATAGGATAGGTTCCTTTAAACTATTACGGGTCTATTCCCACTTCTCGTTCCCACCACCGCAACTCCTGTGTAGCCAGGATCTACAGCTTGACCGCCATAAAAACCCAACCAATGAAGGTCAAGTTTGTCCCGGGGAAAGTTAAACTGTCATTGGACCCGCAACGAAATTAAATCAGAAGAACATAGGAGGAGTTCGAAATTATACTAATTTCATTTATCCTACATACTATAAGATAATAATAATATGAAATAGACAAAACAGTGTGAAAGAAACTTGTTTATTTATGAAGAGGAGGGTAGATGTTTTATAATAAACCGAATGTTTGATATGGATGTTTCAAATTTCAATAGCAGCTTGGAAATTAACTACTAACTATAACACTTCAATGACAGTTTAACTTTCCCCCGGGACAAACTTGACCTTCACTGGTTGGGTTGAGCGGTCAAGCTGTAGATCCTGGCTGCATAGAAGTTGCTGCGGTGGGAACGAGAGGTGGGAATAGTCCCGTTTATATTTCAAGGGGTAAAATATATTTTTTAAATAAAACTTAAAAACATTAATTTATTACTTACTTATTAATATTATTAATCAGACGTGATTTGTAACTTAGAAGAAATATTTTAGCTCAAATTATCGTAGTTTTAACTAAACAACATTATGTCAAATGTTGTTTGTGCACATATCTGTTAGTTATCACAATTGTTTACTTAACCTATAAACTTAATTGTGACATATTTGATAAGTTATACTACAGGTTAAGAGATATAGTATTTATATTTAATTACGATTTTATTTAGACACTAGCTTTCCGCCCGCGGCTTCGCCAGCGTGGAATTGTGTCTATCACAGAAAACCTTTATCGCGCGCGTCCCTGTTTCAAAAACAGGGATAAA